TAAAGTTTTGCTCTTGTGCTCACCAGAGACATAGAGAGACAGAAAGTGAAAAACCACCCCCCAGGGGGATGGCCATACCACAACTCCTTCTCCTCCATTCTCCTCTTGGGATTTGGGGCACGCACGCACACATATCCCGCGTGAGTTTAAAGCCACTGGGTCCAGGACTCAAACCATGGTCAGCCACATAAGAATCCAGTGCCTTAATCACATGCCACCTGCTGGTCAGGCCAGCATAGTTTTCAAGTCTCCAGGTCCAGAGCTAGAACAGCGGTCTACCATGTGGGATTCCAGTGCCTTGCTGGCTCCATTCTGTTACTGCTTGTTTTCTGCACATGAAAGAGCCCTGTAACCCCGAAAACCTGGACAGAGGGAGAGAGGGGCCAAGTGTGTGAGCAAGGTCCTTGAGGAGGAGACAAAGGAGGGCTGGGATCCAGAGTGTGCAGTGGGGGCAGGAGGCCTCTGGCTGGTGCAGGTGTTGGAGCAGCGATGGAGAAACCGCTCAGGGCAGAGTGCGCATGCTTGACAGGAGACAGGAACTTTCTTTTTCCTTCAATGCAGCAGGAGGCGCTGTCCTCAGCTGTGCATGTTTCTGTGTGTGTCCATGTGTGTATATGTGTCCATGTGCATGTGGGTTTGTGTGTCTGTGGGTTCATGAGTGTGTGTAAATACGTCTGTGTATCTGGGTGTGTGAGGATGGGTGTGCACGTGTGTGTGCATGTTGTGACTGAGGTCAGAGGAGGCCTGACCTACCCCTTGTGGAGCGTGGCTGGAAACCTCCCACGGGTTGTTGATGTGCTTTCCTTCAGCCCATGTGAGGACTGAGAGGCGCTGGGCATGTTGGGGGCTTGGCAGTAGGACAGGTGGGTGCCCAGGAGCTGGGGGGTTTGGGAGTAACTTCAGGGGTCTGACTGGGGACTACTGGAGAGCCAGGGCCTTGGGACTCCGTGACTGGGGGAGAGGACAGCAGGAGTGGGGAGGCCAGGATGTGGTCTGCAGTGGGTCTGAGGGACGCTTCACTCCGCCTGGAGTGGCGCACAGTTGGAGTGTTGCTGCCACCTGGTGGCCAAGCCAGGGATAGCCAGACCGTGGCTCAGGAGCAAGGCCTTAGCCCCCCCTGGTGGCCAAGGACGGTCTCTGTGCCCGTGGAGACCTGCGCCCGCCCGCATAGACCGCACAGATGCAGAGAGAGGCGGGCGGTGGGTGGGCACAAGAGCCAGGGTGTGTGCCTGTGCGTGTACGATGTGGAATCCTAGCCCCAAGCCCATGGGGTTGTGCGTGGTTGTGACCAAGCCTCTGTGCCTCTTGTCACCTGTAAAGCAGGCGAAGTCTGTGTGGTTGGAGCTCTGGGGACAGGAGTATTGGTCAGGGCCCAGGGCAGCAGGTGGCACCACGAACATGAGCGCCTGATGAGGCTGGCATACCCAGGCAATGTGGCAGGGCCATCGCTTCTGACCTCTGACTCGTACCCCTTGCCCCAGGCTTCAAGAGCTCTTGGGATCTCAGCCTACTCTCCTCACCCCTGTGTTCCTGAGGCTGGCCCAGGGGTGCTAGAGGGGGCAGCCCAGCCCAGCCCAGCCCCCTGGCGCCCTCACAGCTGAGCCCTTGTTCCTGGTGTGAAGACTCAGACAGGCTCTGCCAGGCCAAGGTGGTGGGGCACCCAGCCCAGGGCTCTCATTCAGCCTCCCTCTGTGAGCCTGGGCCAGCGGAGCAGCCAGGGCTAGCGTGCTGTCCTCTCCCCCACCCAGGGGTGGATCTCCAGGGCTCCTGTTACTCCTCACCCAGAGGTCATTATACCCCTTAGTGCTGGGGTCCCGGAGCCCAGGCTGTGGAATTGCCGCTTTCTGGGCCCTGTGGGTCAACCCTGAGCTCCCCCATCCAGCTCTGCACTTCTGAC